TAGTTATTTATTACATAAATGTTTTTAGTCCAGTTGGTAGAGGTTCGGCCTGGTGGAAATTTTTAGGATTTGACTAAGGCATTTGACTGTGTGTCCCACAGAATTCTCTTAAATAAACTAAAACTTTACAATTTTGATGACAATAGCGTGTCCCTTACTGAGTCTCATCTATCGAACAGAACTCAGTAGGTTTTTTATAATTCTTGTTCTTCACACCTAACAAAAATAGTTCATGGACTTCCCCAAGGCTCAGTATTGGGCCCTATTCTATTTCTTATCTATATCAATGATTTCCCAAATTGTGATATAACTACTGATTTTATTTTATTTGCCGATGATACTACTGCTTTAAAGTCAAATAATAACTTACTTAAACTCACAGAGGATTCAGTGGATACGCTGCCGCTGATAAAGGACTGGTTTATTGCTAATAGATTGAACTTAAATGTTGACAAAACTCAATCTTTGCTTTTTACACTTCGCCATATCAATACTTGTAATAACTCAAATAGCATTAAATTTCTTGGAATTCACCTTGACACTAAATTGAGTTGGGAAAAACATGTCAATGAACTATCCGCACGTTTATCTAAGAATATTTTCCTATTGCGTAATTTGGATCGTGTAGTATCTAAGCCTGTTCTCATATCTGCATATTATGGTACTTTTCATGCCACCATAACTTATGCAATTTTGAACTGGGGTCATTCGTCCCACAGTGATAAAATTTTTGGTTTACAACGTAAATGTATTAGAATTATGGTTGGAATAAAATACAGAGATGATTGTTGGGAGCACAAGAGAACGACACAATAATAGGCCTAAATTTTGTAGATTAGCAAAATCCAGAGATGGCACAAATTATTCTTGCATTAAATTCTTTAATAGACTTCCATTTGAGATTCGATCACTAAATTCAGACTGTTTTAAGGCGAAAATATCTTAAGAGAAAAGCGTTTTATAATTTTGATGAGCTCCTTGCTGACCAGTTTTTAGATATTTAGTGTATGTTCGTAATATTCACTTTTTTATGCTGTTTACGTCATATTTATCTGAATGTGTTTTTTAGCTTTAGTGTAGTATTGCTTATATAATGTATATTTCGTGTTTTTCTTTCTTTGACTTGTGTAAACATTTTAATGTATAGACACCAATAAATGATTTGAGAGGATACAAAGCAAAAAAAGCTACAGTATTGGAAAGACCACATATTGAAGAATTTTTGACTGGAGCTTCCTTCCGATAAAGAATATTTGATGATTAATTTAAAATCTCTTCACCTTTTACATGTTATTAGGTATATAGTGAACTTTGAATTATTTTAGGTTGCACTAATAACGGGGGGTTTCTGGTGCCTGTCGATGCTACGAATTGACAATTGAAAATTAGTGACATAAGGACGTTGGCAGTTACCTACTTGTTTTAATACTTGACACCAAGACGGACATTTCAAGAAAATTTCCAATTATAGAAGAAGGATTTTGCGTGAATGCTGTTGAAATATGCAGAAAATATATTTCTCTGCGCCCAACTCGCCTACAAGACAGATTCTTTTTAAGATACATCAATCAAAAATGTACTTCTCAGCCTGTTGGAATCAACAAATTAGCGAAGGTATCTTCAATAGTTGCTTCATTCCTGAATATCGCAAATCCAGAAGCATATACTGGCCATTGTATGAGGCGCACTTCAACAACTTTATTGGCCAATAAAGGTTGTCGTTATGATGATACTCGTACGTATGAAACTGTTTATTGATCGAAACGCATAATTATTTATCACATCACACAAATGAACCTTAGTTAAGTTCAAAGACTGAACAGTCTAAGTCATTAATTTTTTATAACGCCTAAGTTATTAGAAGTAAAAACACAATTTGTAAAAATAACACGTACCTATTACTATGCATAAATGTAAATGTAAAACGATCTTAGGCAAATCAGCTGGCCATAGAATATTTTTCCCTCGGTTTTGTTAGTAATTCCGCTGTTTGACTTCCCACATTAATTTTAAATTGAGCTGGATGGATATTTTTAGTAATTCACTTTGTCTTCCAAGTTCCACACACAAACGATTTACTCGTATGCTTACCATAAACGTCAAATAACAGGTTCGAATCGACACCATTAAAAATTATCAGAAACACGTTTCTGTGCTTAATTAATAATTTCAATAATGAAGTCGTTAGCCATTTCGATAAGGTGCGTGCTAAATCACCGTTTTGGAAGATCTTGGATACTTGGTCCAACAGTTGCAGTTTTGTAGGTGTTCTACGGATTGGTTTTTAATGAGAATAAAATTAAATTTCAGTCACCAGTGAAATAAAATAATTGCAATTTTTCTTTTTTTATTTCTTGTTTTCTCCTTAACTCAGAACCCAGTTAACCGATTTGATCAAAATTGCTGTTGCTTAGTTTCTCTTGATGAAGTATGCAGTGATTATGTTCCTATTAGGTTAAATCATACAAGGCGTTCATTTTACTACAATCCTTTGTTTATATTCTTCTGTAACCTTTTTGGACGTTTAAATGTTTAAATTTTTACACGTAGAAATAGGTAGAAAATTATATTCTACACAAAAAATGTACGTAGTTATTTCCAAAAAATATGGGGTATGTGTTAATAAATATTGTCTGTAATATCTTCTATCTATCATAATTTCGACTTTTGATAGGTATACATTTTGAGTGTAGAATAAAATCCTCTGCCTATTTGTGATAGTTGCGTGTAAAAATTTAAACGTACAAAAAAGTTACAGAAGAATATTTACAAAGCGTTGTGGTAAAATGAACGCCCTGTATGATTTAATTTTGAAGGAACATAATGAATGACTGCATACTTCACGAAGAGAAATTAAGCGACAGTAAATTTTGCTCAAATCAGTTAACTGGGTTCTGAGTTAAGGAGAAAACAAGAAAATTAAAAATGAAACTTTAACCCCTGTAACATTTTTCGTTTAAGCAAGTTTGGTTAAATCGACACCATTTGGGTTCTAGATTATACCTTTGAAGTATGTAACATTCGTTAGGTGACACCCTGTATTTTCTACTATAACATGTATAAGCAGTAGAAGAAGTAGAATCAGCATTGCTGTCGCTCAATATTTTCTCTCCAATCTTGATTTTCCTTTGAAGGGAATCTTCGACATATCCTCCATAGCCCGGTCAAGAGACATTTCAAATAACGAAAATTCCGACAGAGCTAAATTTTGGTGGAGACCTTGGTTACACCATTAGAAATAAAGTGTCAAAAGTCCCCATCGATCCCATGTGTGCTAAAAATGTTATTCGTGGTCAAAGGTCAAAATTTTAGGTTTTTTGGATTTTAGGCCTACTCCACGAACTGTTTTGACGGATTTTTTTTTAACTGTATGATGATTATTCATATAGATATTGGTTATTGACTTTAACTGCAGCTCTGATTTCTTTTGATATTTTAATCTGATTCATACTCTTCAGAGTCGACTTCAACAGGCATGTCTTCTTCGATTTCATCTTCTTCTTGCTGGATGTTCATAAATTGTTCAAATGAAGATGAATCAGCTGTATCTTCATCGAAATCACATGAATCTTCATCTGCTGTATTCAATTGGACATTTGAACAAGACTGGCTTTGACAATTAGTACACGCTGGAGAACACAGTAACCCTACTCTTCTACAGTCACATTTAGCACTACAACCATTTTTGAAATTGCAAAAAATAGTGTTTAGGAGTTTTCCCAGAACAGGTGGAAGTAAAGTTTGAATCGGTTCCAAAGTATTATCTGTTAATTTCCAACCCCAGAATTCCGGGTTCATTTGATTGCTTAGCCATGTCTGAACTTGATAGTATACTCGATACAAGTGTTGATTAACAGAAGCCGATGTTGGAGGAAGACAAGATTGTTGTACTTGTTTCTTGTTTCGTGTATTTTTTTATAGAAGTTAAATATCTATATTTATCTATACAATCATTTTTTTGGAGCTCCTTAACAGCAAGGAGAAAGCGAATTCCTTTTGTGATTATTGTTTGAGGTGAAGAATCAATTTCTGCAATCAATCAAATCTTTTTTTCCAAATAATTTTAATACTGAAATTTTACCCCTTCTGAACATTGCTGATGTAGTATCGCAGCCGGTTATCGCATGTAAAAATAAGATATGGTTTTGGCATTTTGGATAAGCAGATAAACTTTTTGAAGAATATATTTCTGTTCGCTATTGAGCCTTTCCAGGTTTTAAAAAGTATATAATTTTATCAATTGGAGTCCTTGCAGTGAGTAGTATTAATAAGTGAACATCTTCACCAACTACAATAGTTGTATTTGTTGCATTAAATTGTTCTATTGCTGCTTCAATTATAAGGACATCTGCGTCATTTTGTAGCTGCTGAACCGCGAAATGAAACTGACGATTTTTTTAATGTTCTGTTCTGTTTTATAAAGTCAACTTGTGATATTTGCTAACATAACTAAACTTCATTTATTTATCTACGATTTCTGATAAGATAACCCACCAAATCTGATCTCATGTCAGGTTTCGAGGATAATATTCAGAACGCCCTCAATGTTAAAGTTACAAAAGTTATGACCAGAAAATTCCTACATGTTCAACAGTGGCAGATGGTATAAAATATTAACCCAATCCTTCTGGGTCATCCAGGATCAAGTTTAAAAGGGAGAATCGATACGAAACATAACTTTTCCCGTCTAGTCATCCATGAAACGGCTAATCATTGAGAAACAACCGCTATCGAATTGTCATTAGAGACTCCGTCGTCCGCCATCAATATTAAATGTACTGAATTATTAAAGATCTCCAGTAAAATTATAGAGCACATCTTCCCGGTAGCGATGGGGAGGAATCCGATAGCGCTGGTCGCGTGTCAGGCTCCGCCCCCTCGGAGATAGAGCCGGGTTCCCATTGGTCCACGATGCTCAAGTTTTGCGAGATCGAGGAGAGGAAGATTTTGAGTCAGACTTAGCCTCTGCTTTTGGTTGATTTGCCAGTAGGTCTTTTAATTTGTGACCAGTCGGTTTTTGAAATTAATGGCATTGGATTATTGGCATTAGTCTCGCGAAACGCTTTGAGATATTTTTAGATGTAGTGGTGGGTGTGTTTTGGGATACCTTTGCTTTTGGTCATAGGACTGCTTCAAGGTAAATGGTATAGGTTTTAAATTTTGCGTGAGGAAGACTTTTCCTTCGCTTTTGTGTTATGATGCAGAGTTTGAAACAATGCGAAGAGTAGATATGAAAGTTATTGCTTAACTAGAGATATAAATAGTTCTGTTAAGAGCTAGAACTACTAGTTAGGAAGTTCTAGAACAGCTAGAATTACTAGAAACAGTGTATTTTCCAGATGGTAGTTAGCATAGTAGTAGTTCTATGATTAATGTCCTTCGATCAAAATTTGTTGGGAAATCTCGCAAAGACTAGAAATTCATAGTAGGCTTTATAGAGACAATTGATTTGTGTCAACAATGAACATAAACAATGAAAGTATCTTGTTTTCCAAGGCACCGCAGATCAGATAAGTAACAGACTTGATCTAACTGTGTGTTTCTTTATACATATCGTTTATTATCTTTTGAACTGGAAGAGATATCGAAAAACTTTTTTAATAACAATTTTTGAGAAAAATGCGACCTTTCTAAGACGTGAAAAATATGTGTGAAATTGGGAAAAGTTACTTCGATGACGTGGTAGCCCTTAGGATGAAGACATACTAAAACAGAGGTCGAATTGTCGTATTATGATGTCACGTCCTGTAAAAATCAAGTGAACTGGTTCAAATTTGAACAGCAAATTGCTACAAAAAGTTTTATTAGTAAAATACTCGAAGCTATTTGTTACACATTAAAATAAACGGAATTCCTTTCCCAAGGAAAGAAATAAATAAAATTTTATGACACCTATTTTATATTGGCTAACTGCTTTTGCTGCTATTCTTATTATTAATTATTAATACAATTGATTTGTGGTTTTAGTTAATAAAATAATTTGATATACCTTATGTCACAACAATTGTTCAAAATTTTGTCTAGCTACGTATAAACACATTTGAGCCCGTTTTACCCAGTCACTACGAATTAACACAAATGTTGTCTAGCTTCACCATAACACAAATGTTGTCTTACTTCACTATAAATTAAAACGATATCCATCAACTTTGAGTGGCTATATATGTAAGCCATTTTTGACGCTTGAAAAACTAATGTAAACACTATCGGAGAGACGTAAATAACGGATTTCAGTATTCGTAATTGCCTGAGGCCGCTTGAGGAGAGACAGTGCAGCGATGTAAAGGTTCAAAGTGTACTATAATTTGTATAATTTTTTTCTCGGAAGCTATAAGCATCTTACAAATTTTTTTTTACGATATTGACTCAATTTTTCATGACGTATCTGTTCCCAATTTTTTTTGCATAAATTGCGAATCACCATACCTATTTTTGGAAAAATACTACTAAACAATAATTTTTGTGATCACTGTTGACCACAGATTTTTTTTAAGGTCAACTTCTGATTTACATTTATATAACGAATTACAAAAAAGCATAATTTTATGCAAATGATAAAAGTTTTACGATAGTTACTATGGTTACAAGTTATGGTTTCTTCCTAATTAAATGACATTCATATGTTTTCTTAAAAGAATTTATTCATATTTCAAGAGCAATATAACACTTTTTAGAGAGTGACATCACTTGTTGCCAAGTCTTTCTACTTAGCCCAATATCTAAAGCAAAATTCACTTTTGCTATTGTCATTTTATTACCTATTGCCTCCGAAAATTAATATTTTATTGGCTGTTTTGGTTGTTTGTTCCCACTAAAGTCCCTTGTGTTTCATTATTGGTCTAGTGTGGATAAAATTGTAGTAATTGTTACTTCTATTAACCGATAACATTTAGTTACAATGACACATAGTTACAATAATCACAAATTAGTGGATATTTATTGATATACGGCGAACGTAGACAAACTGCTGTCGCAGAACGACTGTCAAGGGGGTAAGATGATATTAAGATTATTATTTTTTTCGTGTGATTTCGACCTTACTTTAGTACCAGTATTACAATTTTTGTTTCAACAAATATTGCTGTAGCTTCAATATTATCAAACGCACCGATGTTCTTTTACTTTTGTATGTATATAATTCAATTATAACGAAAGGAAGAAAAAATTAGTTCTTCAAAACACAATTTTATTTCACAAAAGTCACAAATAGCTTCTACAAAACGGTTATCGTTGTCTTCCTCCGTACAATTGACTGAATAGAATAAAATAATTATCTTTAAAAAATAGTTTATAAGTATCCCCATAGGCGTAGCTGCGGTGGGGCAGACTGGGGCGCTTGCCCCTTCTGGTTCATCTAATGAAGCAAAAAATATTAAAAAAAATATTGTTGCGCAGGTAAAAATTAATTATTTAAAAAAATTAAAAATATATTTTTAAAACTAATAACTAATTTATAAATTTAATTTAAAACAATATAATTTTAATTTATTAAAGGCGGGAAACATGATAATTTTTACATTCTATTCCAGAAGAAAGTTACTTGCTGCCATTTTAAATTTGAACATATTCCGTTTAAGAAGGCTCTATAGCAAATAGGCAACCAGTAATACATTTTTATAGATTTTATCACACAATTTGTCTACATATGATTCAATGCACAAATAACGGACTTTCCTCCATTCTCTGGCGGATTTTCTACAAAATGGAGTTAGTTTGAAATTTAAATTACTCTTAATTGAAAAGAAATTTGTAATTTGTACCGTAAATTACAAATTTCCTTACATCAAAAAGTTATTTGAGTTTCAAACTAAGTTCATTTTATAGAAAATCTCCGTTAGAATGGAGGAAAGTCTGTTTTTTTGTGCATTAATTCATACTTAGACAGACTGTGTAATAAAGCCTACAAAAATGTATTGCTGGTTTGCTATTTGCTACAGAGCCCTCTTAATTTTCTGTTTGCTAGTGACACAACAATATTCTCCTTGCAGATGATGAAATTCAAGGTATCCGGCCTCGTGGCCGACTTGATGCCCAACATAAGGCTCATACAAGCATCCGGTCATTTCATGTTCAACTACCACGCCGACAACTCCGGAGCCTTGCACGCCTTGAGACTGGGATACTCCTGCGCGCATCTGCTGTTCTGCCTTTTTCAATATGGGTAAGCCCGGTTAAAATGTCGCCTTATAGCAGCGCCCTCTACACTACCGAGAGGGGTACTAGAAAGGGGGTGTGTCCATTATTTTGTGCAATTTTGCAACAAAAACTGCAACAGCTGGCAACGCTGATAGTGCATTGATACAACTTACCGCGCTAATACCGGATAGAAGAATTAGAGTGCAGTTTAAAGAATTAGTTCTTATACCTAGACTATTTATTTGATTAAAAAAGCGTCAGATTTGTATTCAGGTACCAAAAAACTGAGCCGCCTTATAAATACACCCTGTATTCAAACCAATCATTTTAACAGTTGCGCATATTGCGAAGTTTCAGAGAGGTGGATTCCAAAACTGTTGACTGCCGGACAAAAACTGTTTAGGCAGCAAATTTCTCATAATCTTTAGTTCCATTGTTAGGGAGAAAACTTTTCCTATTGCCCTCGTAAGATTATTATGGAATAACATCATCTAAAACAAAAAATAACGTTATTTCCGCGTTGTGATTAAATTATACGCAAGGCCATACGTCTAAAACCCTTCATCTATAATTAGCCGCGAGATGTGGGCTGAAAATATTGCCCACATAAAATAAATCCGCATGAAAAGCCCCTGACAAGTTAGATCTCGGTGAAACTCCCCAGCAACATTAATCATCTATTTTTTAAACAGGAACAGGAGCTGGTGGGCTTAGATCCCAGCACGTCAGTATATAATTTTGTCAGGAAATTCGCTTCGCGACGTTCTTTTGCTGGAAGTCAATTTATTTTGGTATTAAGTTGGCCAGACTCGGTGTTTCCAGACTGCGGATGCGAGATATCAAAGAAAATTATCTCGCTAAAACACATTTAAATTTAAAAAGTACGGGGTGACCGAAAAAATTAGGTGTTTGCAACTGGTTTATATAAATGAGAAACAATAAAGAAAAGAAAGTGGATTGATCCATTACAAACCTAAATTTAACGTCACTTCAGGCAATTTAAGAAATAATGTCGATGATTTTCCCAAAAAAATGAGCTACAACAACAAAAAACTGTGATATGTAGTCGACTTTTGATAACAGATTTCGAAAAAATATATTTTATTATTACAATTTTAGATGCATTTTTGGAAATCTAGTGGTAGAAAAAGACGACGTCAATTACCTGGCAGCAAACACGATCACTGTGCTGTTTTTCACGCACTGTATCACAAAATTCGTGTATTTCGCCTTAAGATCGAAGTTGTTTTATAGGTAGGTCCAATATTGTTGCTAAAAAATCACCAACATTGAACTTAACCATCTTTTTAGGACTTTAGGCATTTGGAATCAGTCCAACAGCCATCCCTTGTTTGTAGAATCCAACAACCGATACCACGCTTTGGCCTTAAAAAAAATGAGGACTTTATTGATTTGTGTCACAGCTACAACAGTCCTTTCAGCGGCAGGTAAGAAACTGAAAAAATTTTGGATTTTCAAATAATATACGTTTTACGCAAAATCATTCATAACCAGGACGATACCACGTCCGTCGTGACAATCAACACTTCATGGTATATGATAGAACTACATTAACACTAATATTTCACTACTTTTTCTTTAGCATGGACTGGCATCACCTTCGTCGAAGAGAGCGTGCACAACATAAAAGATCCCGACAACGAAAACGAAACCATAACGGAAGAAATACCCAGACTGCTGATCAAATCCTGGTATCCTTGGGACGCTATGTCGGGAATGGCCTACTACGGATCGCTGATATTCCAGATTTACTACGTCCTTTTTTCCCTGGCCCACGCCAATCTAATGGACAGCCTGTTCTGCTCCTGGTTAATATTCGCTTGCGAGCAACTGCAACACTTGAAGGAGATAATGAAGCCTCTGATGGTAAGATGGATAGATTAAGTCATGGCAATAATAACGATGAATTCTTCTTCAAAGGAACTCTCGGCCTCTCTAGATACGTATGTACCAAAAAGTGCTGACCTCTTCAGAGCACCAAGTGCGAAGTCTCAGGATAATTACATAGAAAACGGTAAGAACCGACCATCGTTCCTGCAAAAAAATGTTACGTGTCCTTCTTCTAGATTACAACGCTAAAAATGAGGAACTAAACCTAAAGGGCATCTACAACACCAGACAAGAGCTAGGTGGGAACTTCAGGAGTGGAGCTTTGCAGACGTTTGGACAAGGTGGGGTAGGTCCCAACGGGTTGACCAAGAAGCAGGAGCTCATGGTGAGATCAGCCATCAAATACTGGGTGGAGAGACACAAGCACGTTGTCAGGTAAAATAGGAAGACTGAAGTTTCACAAGATATTGCTATATCTTCATGGGATTAAAATATTGACATTGTGAAATTGATAAGAGGGACAGTTAGCATTGGGATTGGGACGTCTAGTTTTTATTGAAAAAATGTTATTTTCCAAATTCTTGTTCTACTTAGACATACGAGTACTTATATTTAAATCTTAACTTTTCTTTTTTCTGGATGATTTCTTGACCTAATTTTTTTCAAACTCGTTATAACCGTTGCATTCGTAATGAGACCATTATTATTCATATAGAAGTCAAGTTGCTTTAACAGAAATGAGGCACTTTGTAATACGTAATTTCCCCTTTCTCTTTGAGACATCATTAATATGGAAATGACGGATTATCTTCGTAAAAGTCTTTTTACAAGCTCCTTTGGAACTGGATTAGTTTCAAGGAAAGAACGGTGGAACAACTAATTACTACTAATCCGAAACCGATAAGTTAATTACCTTATTAAATTTTCATGAGGAGTTGTTGTCGAGTTTGTTCAATAAATAGTTGATCAGTTATATCCGCAGTGCCAATATTTATTGATTTTCCTTGGTAGAACAGCGAGAAATTAAATATTTTCATTATACAGCATTTTCAGTTAGTCTCCTTTAGACTAGGGCGGATCTGTTTTGAGGTGGATGTGAGAGGGGGCTAGCAATTTTTTTCTGGATTACCTTCAGAGCAACTCACATAATAAAAGTGTAGATCCCTAGATCTGGGCGAGGTCCGAAACATTTTCAAAATTGCAAAAATGTTTAAAAAATTTAAAAAATATTGATGAAAAAAAGGCAAAATGAGTTTTTTTGGACAATTTTTTTAAATATTTTAATAGCTCCGAGGGTATTCTAATTTTGGTAAGAAGAAACTTTAGAGTATAATAAAACAACACACCAAATTTCATTAAAATCGGTTCGATAGTTTTCCCAAAATAATTTTTTGAAAAAATTTTGAAAAAAATTTTTCGAATTTTCTAAATGTTGCACAGCCTCAAATAAAGCTTCTATTTATTTGAAAATTTGTTCACATAGAAAAGACCGCTCAACCTTTCAACTGGTTTTTGAAAAATTTAAATCGGTTGATTAGTATGGCCACAGTAAATTTTTTAAGTTTACACTCTTTTTATTTATTTTTAAACAATTAGATTACATTTATCAATTTGCAATTTAGTTTTTTCAAAAATTATAATTTTAAAGTACTATTTTTTCTTAATTTTATCTGCATTTAACAAAAAAAATAATTCCTAAATATTTTTTTTTTAGTTTGTTTAAACAAAAATTATTTAAATAATTGTAATAACTATAACTAAATACATTCATATTCAGAGTGTTGAAATATATACGTAAACAAATGTCTTCATTGAAAAATTACAATAGCATAGGGTAAAATATACAGTATATTTAATGCATAAATAATAAACTTTGTTTATAACAAAATATGTGCAAATTAGACAGTTGGCATTACGATATTCGAATTCCTTGGCTCGTGAGACATCGGATTAAATAAAAGATCGAAATTGGTCCATTAGAAGCCAAGATAATGCAATTTTTTTAGTACCTTCGCATTTTGAACCTCCGAATTCAGTCGTGATTTGAGTCACTTTTTGCGCGTGCGAGCGACAGCTTTTCCGCTGATTTATCTATGTTGCCGATAACTTACGGATATGAAAATTTTTTTCCAACTTAGAACTTGGAAAAATGAAGCCACTGGATCAAAGATTATTGCTAAATTGTTTATAAATTAACGATAAATGCCGAATTTAACGGAATTTAACTTTTTTTTAAAAAAAGAAGCGTCTTTCCCAGTAATTTAAAATTATAATTTTTGGAAAAAACTAAACTGCAAATTGATAAATGTAATCTAATTGTTAAAAAATAATAAAGAAAGTGTTAACTTTAAAAATTTACTGTTGCCGTCCTAATCAACCGATTTCAATTTTTCAAAAACCATATGAAAGGATGAGCGGCTCTTTCTATGTGAAAAAATTTTCAAGTATCTAGATGCTTTATGTGAGGCTGTGCAACATTTTGAAAATTCGAAAAAAATTTTTCAAAATTTTTTCAAAAACTTATTTTGCCAAAACTATAGAACCGATTTTAATGAAATTTGATGTGTTGATTTATTATACTCTAAAAATTTTTTTACTAAAATTAGAATGTCCTCGGAGCAATTAAAATATTTTAAAAAAATTATCCAAGAAACTTCATTATTTTGCCTTTTTTTCACCAATTAATGCTATTTTGCAACATCGGTAACAAATTTAAACATTTTTAACCTGCAGTATATTGTGCAAAATTCAATTCTAAAACTTTTTTCCTCTTCAATATTCTTCCAAAATGCATAGGTTCCAAGATATAAGGAAAAACCTAAGATAAAATAGGTATTTTTTTAAAATTTTTAAACATTTTTGCAATTTTGAAAATGTTCCTGGGACCTCGCCCAGATCTAGGGATCTACACTTTTATTATGTGCGTTGTATTGAATGTACTTCAGCAAAAATTAGCTTGCCCCTCTTTCATCCAAAAAGTGGGATATTTCCACAGATGGTCTGGTCTATATATTTTTATGTTGCTTTTAGACTCGTTACAGCTATTGGCGATGCTTATGGCGTGGCACTGTTGCTCCACATGTTGACGTCAACAGTTATGTTGACCCTTTTGGCTTACCAAGCCACCAAAGTAAGTTACTTTTCATTCCAAATTTTGTCTTTCTCACTCTGTCTACACAAGTAATTTCCGTTTGCTCTAGATCAACGGTGTAAATACTTACGCTGCTACCACCATTGGATATCTGGTGTACTCTTTGGCCCAGGTTTTCCACTTCTGCATTTTTGGGAACAGGCTGATCGAAGAGGTAAATGATCAGGGTAAATGTTTTTGATTACAAACGATATTGGAAGCTTCTTGTTTCAGAGTTCTTCTGTTATGGAAGCAGCTTACAGCTGTCACTGGTACGACGGCTCGGAAGAAGCCAAAACTTTCGTCCAGATCGTGTGTCAGCAGTGCCAGAAGGCGATGCAGATATCTGGAGCGAAGTTTTTTACTATATCCCTGGACTTGTTCGCATCTGTAAGTAAAATTTGTAGCAAATCATTAGCTGTGAGTAGTTGTCTTGACATGGGCATGTTGACTTATATGTAAAAGAGTATTTTCTTTTCATATAAAATATATTAACATAAAATTACTGATTGTTTACTGGGTGTTAACTCACGTTTTGATCTACATAACTGTATAAGTAGTACAGAAAAGGAAAAAGGATATTCATTGTCATGAATAGGACACACCACAAATCCATATTCTAACGAGCGTTCAAATAAAAACGTGGTCGAAGTTGGCTCTGACACATTGGACGTAGGGAGTAGCTTATAGCGACCAACTTAACCTCATTTCTCAACGAGCTGTATAGCAGCTGTCAGTTTCAATAACGTTAATGACTATATAACTTTATTTTAAAGAATAATCGTGATAACAATAACAAACAATTAAACGAGCTGCGGAAAGTGTCCCCCTCCTTGTTATAACAATAAATTAAAGTAGCTGCTGAAATTGTCCCCCTCCTTGTTCCAAGCACTTTTCACACCTGTTCCTCAAAGAATTAAAGACATTTTCTAAGATGCTCGGGGTATTGTTAATTTCACGAATCTTGTCTATAAGTCGAGCCTGCAGATGGTTTAAATCAGGAATAGGCAGTTCAAAAATAGTGTTTTTAAGGTAAGGCCACAAAAAGAAATCACACGGCGTAATATCACATGACCTCGGTGGAAATTCATGTTCAGCATTGAGACTTATTAGTCGATTTTGGAAAACTTCCCTCAACATATTCATCGTCTCGCCTGCCGTATGTGCCCTTGCGCCATCTTGTTGAAAGTAAAAGTTTGTAATTTCGTTTTCTTCCAGCTGGTTAACAAAAGGAGCGATAATTTCTTCTCTATACCTTTGCGCAGTAAGAGCACCATTAAAAAAATAGGTCCATAAATCCTCCTTCGATTGAGAGCACACCAAACTCCAATTTTATGAGCGTGTAGAGGGCCCTCGACAAAAAAGTTATCTGGTTTTTCAGAAGACCACATTCTCATATTCTGTGAGTTTACGTAACCACTTAAATGAAACCAGGCTTCATCAGAAAAAACGGTGATATTATGGAGTTCACCGTAGTTGTTTAAAAACCATTCACAAAATACAGCCCGTCGCGGAAAATCAACTTCATGAAGTTCTTGCTGACAAGTTAAACGATAGGAGAACAAACGCAAATCTTTTTTTAACACTGTGTGGCAGGTACCGACTGATACTCCCACCATTTGTGATAAAACACGTACAGAAGTTCTTGGCGCATTTTCCATTATTTGTTGGACATTTTCTTTTAATTCTTCAGTCCGCTTTTTAGGTCGGCCGCTTCCTTCTTTTCTTGTTACACTGCCCGTTTCACGAAAAACATTAACACAACGCTGAACTGCACTTTGAAAAATTTTGTACTCAACAACGCCGGGAAATTGATTTTGAAATTCTATGAAACATTCCTCAATAGAATACTTCCATATTACATCAATCTTGCGTCCATTTGTAAAGTAGGACTCTATGATAAACACTTTTTGTTCTTGAGAAAACATCATTTTAAACGCTTTTTAAAACGAAAATATTCAAATTGATAGCGGCGATATAGCGCTTTGACAGATGACGTTTAAGTTCATTTGCTATACGCTACGCCCTACGTCCAAATTTTCAGAACCAACTTGACCACGTTTTTATTTGAACGCTCGTTATAATAATAAAATATTAATAAACATAAACTTGATGATTAAAAATTATGTACAAGGGATATACAGGGTGTTTATTAAGCACAGGGTGTCTCAAGCTCGATAGTATAATGATATATAAACTACTTTTACAACTCTTCTTCTTCTTCTTTAGGTGCTTGGCGCCGTTGTAACCTACTTCATGGTGTTGGTGCAACTCAAATAAGTCGCCCAAAGTGTTGTTTCTTCAGTTTAGCTATAATTTAATGGGCAAAGATTAATTTCGATACCTGATAACAATCAAGTGATTAGATGGAATCGTTAAGGTGCATATTTTAAATTTTAAGATCGTCTCATCACTTAGAATAATGTGTCTGTATAAATCTATTTAAGTGATAGTCAAGTGCTGGTCTGCACAAATGTTCGTAGCTTTAGATTTATAGTCTAGCATTAATTAATTACTTTTTTAAGTTAAGCACAAGATGTGATATTTATCCCTGTTACGGGATTAATATTTGTTCGAGCAGGGTATGTCACTGTTAGACTTAGATCGTACTAATCACGACTTCTATAATTTTAAAGAGACATTCTGAGTCTGCGTAATTAAGTACAAAATTCTGTAATCTTAATCCGTATGCGATAGCAATAACAATGAAAGTTGACATTGTTGGTGCATAGTATCTTACGACTAGGCACAGTATTTTGTATAAATAGTTCAAATAATCAAAAAAAATATATGTATATCAATTTTTCTCCGGTTACAGTAACTATTTTTACCTAGATAGTACGTCACAACCTTAGAGTAAATGTAAATTAACACCAAGTTAAAAGCATTCAAAAGTGTCTTATATTTCATGCTAATTTTGTCCTATTGCACACAAATGTTCATTTCTACTACTTCTTTATTTAACAAAACTACTACCCTGTACCTGATTCTATCAAAGGGGGAACATAATCTAACGCTACTTGTAATTTAAAAAAAAAATCTGTATAACAAACCCTATGTTAATGTTACAACATATCCTATTTTATATATCGTTTTTGACGCATTTTTAAGCTTAAGTGTTAATAATTTCAATTATTTACCATAGTTTAATAAAGTTAACGTTAGTAAAGTATGTTTTTTATGGAAATATGAATACCTTGTGCCTTGATGATCCGACCTTATCGAGCAACACCTTGGCCGGAATTTAAATCGATACACCCGCGACAGTTGAACACCGTACGGTGGCGCTATCTGCCGCGGCGTCACGCAACATTGCTGTCATCTGTGAGTAACCATAACATTTTCGTTGTATAACCTAGGAAAAAACGAGAACTTTTTGAAAATATTGAATGAAAACGTTAAAGAAATGTGCCCGCTGTTAGTTGTTATACAAATTTGCGGTATTCCGTGTTGATTAAACCCAGTGTGTTGTGAAGTTAAACGTTGTGCCGGGCGTAACAAGAATATAAAATAAGTGTTCAAATTTTGCTCAAAAGCAACAATAAATCAATCGTGTATAGGTAATAAAAGTTGTTAATAGTTGTTTAGAGGCAAAAGCTCAGCTTTAAGGCATTAATATAGTTGTTAATAAATAAATTTTAGGAGAAAAACGGGTTCCTGATAGTAGACATAATAGTCGCGATCGAATCTGTTTTTTTTGGCAATACCTACTGGGATATTCTTTTTTTATACACGTTAGTCGGTGATTCTTGCAATATTTTTGACAATCTTTGAACTGTGTTAGCGATTTACGCACAAGTAAACAATAATTAGTAATAAAAGGAGACCCAGAGACCATCGTCAAGGACGACAGGTACCTACTAGAACACGTCGTCTTTTTTAAGGTAAGATTTTATTATTATTTTTTTAATATGTATGTCCACATAACACTTTTTATAAAAAGTGAATATTGTTTTCAACGTGATGGTAAGTGAAATATACTTGAAGATATATGGATGCTTTTTTTGACTTTTATGAATTAAAAATTATTATAGTATTTTTTGTTTCGAAGTATTTTGAAAGTCAAGAATCGAAAGAACCCAGTTGTTTGCTGAAATTTTGTTATAGAGAAAGAGAACCATTATCTTGGAAACAAATTTCTTCATAAAGATTGGACCACTGAAAACTTTCTACGAAGTTATGTATTTCCAAGATTTATAAACTTGGGCGTAAGTTGTGTAAACTTTCAACTTTCTAGCTTGATTTTGATATTAGCAATAAGTTATGACGGTTTGTGTTTCTGTCACTACTTATAGTCCAGTCACTGAAGGCGAAAATAAGGTAAAAGCTCCCAATTTCTTCGGTAAGCATGGATTTTCCTGAAAATTTGCCTTGATACAAGCTTATTTGATCTCCCACTTCAAAAGTTATATTGTCTAAATGTGCGCTTTTTTCTATTTGGGGATGAAAACTACTCTTGTACGAAAAAAATGCGAAAATCGGAGATTTACGTATTTTAAAGATTCAATTCATGTTCAAATATGTTAGTCCAAGCATTATAGAGAAATGCTTACAGAAATTATTACCTGGACAAAAAAAATATGAGCGTATAAAAAATTAAATTTTAAATTGAGTTTCTTGTTCTTTAAACTCGATCCAATATGGCGAATATGGTCAAAAAAAATCGCAAAGTTGAAAAAAACGGTTTTTCTAAAATAACTAAAAAAATATAGCACGAATTGAAAAATTTTAAATAAGAAAGTTGTAGGTTTTAAAAAGATCTATCGACTGATTTTTTGAAAGTATCTATTGCTTTGTTACTTTTCGGGATATATCGAAAAAACCGTTAAAAATCTTCTCTTTTCTCTTCTTCTATAACTCGTTTACATTTACGTGCCCATATTTGCTATTTACTGCAAGCATAGCCCGCGGCAAGCCAAAAAAGTACATTTTTGAAAAATTTAAAAATATTAATTATTTTTCGAGATATATCGATTTTTTGAAAAAAAGGCGCTCTCGAAAATTGGCTAGATCTTCTCAGCGGATAGCCCTACAGTAACGATTTTCGGTTTATTTTCTTCGTAAAGAGTTATATTATCATGCTGTTAAAAAATGTTGACGATTTTATTAATTTTAAGGATCAAAAAATGACTTTGAATAAGTTGCACTTTTTTGGGTGTTTTTTTCAAATTACTATTTCAATTTTTATTTTATGAAAATGACTTTTAAAGAAAGAAAACTAAACATTTACGGGTCTATTCTGCTTCTAAGGCGAAAATGCTATAATATTCGTATTTAGCTACCCCAGATTAAGTACAAAGAAATAATAAAAATTCAAATTTCACGTCAATCCATTCCATCCGAAAAAATTGGTAGCCAAAATACTTCAGTGACTGGACTATTAAGAAATATTAAATAAATAAGGCTTTAGTTCTTGTAGACAGAGGTTATCAGCATGTATTATATAGTCCAGTCGACATTTTCTTGCACTTTATAACGGGGAAGGTATGTGGAATGATGATATTAAAAAAAGTAACTCGTAAGAAATGTCGCAAAGTTAGCAAATTGCAAATAACTGGCAAAATTACTTTTTTTACTGCCCATGAAAATCCAGACGACCTATCGATAAATTAGTTATTTTATGTTGTAGGCAATTACCTACAATTTAAGATACCTAAAGTCATATTTCACCAATTTGTTAACTGTAAAATAAACGTTGAACGCTGAAAAATCAGTTTTCGAAAATTGCGCATTATTATTACAAAAAGCTATAAATGTTGATGAAAATGGTAACGACGGTATGTCCAATGGCCAACATGTGTTTCGATTCGATTGCCCGTGAAATTGTTGCTCCTGGTATTTGTTAATCAATTTCGTGCGTGTTTAATTTTTAAACGTTAATTTTACAAGTTAATATCGTAGATATATGTTCTAATTGATCCAAAGAAACGTATCGAAAAGGAAAAATCCCAAAAAAGTTGAAAATAAGTCGCTCTTTACAACTAACAAAGTAGGATGTGCAAAACAGCGTTACAAATGAATTTCCGTGGGTCAAGAAAGAGCCGCTCGGGAATTCGTTCTTTTTTGCATTAAATAGAGCTTTTACTGCAGCTAGCACGTTTATGAGGAGTATTTTCCGAAAGTTCAATTAATTTTTAGCAAATCTACAACAAAAACATAGATTTTTGCAACTTTTTGTTAATTGTAAAATTATATTCGCAATAAAAAGAAAATAAAAGAAATTGTCGATGTTATCTTCTAGAAAATTTCATTTATAACAAAAATTATCTCTTCCCAAAGTCCGATCCAACCGAGATATTGAGGAAAAACAATTAAAAAAGCATTTTTTGCTACGTAAATTGTTTTAAACATTTTCCCCTCACTATGTGGTGCTTGTGAATTTTAATATTGTGTTCTTTAACATATTCGTAGCCGATTTGTCAAAAAAATTGGACTTTATGGAAAATTACTTCCTCTGAAACCCCGCCTACTGGACTAGAGGTCAATGACACAGATATCACAAAAAAGTAACGACTGGCAACACTGATACAACTGTTTAGCGGTGTCACACCCCGTATACTTTCTGAAGACATAACTCTTTCGCGTTTAAAATTTGTGGGATCTATCTCTCGTAGTAAAAGAGATATAACCAAATGAATATGCCATAAAAATACCCAGTGCCTACTTGATTTTCTAATTAACACAATGTATTACCTCGCAAAGGACTCGCCGTCAATTCCGTAACAGCCCGTACACAAAAAAAGAGCAGTTTATCGAAAATCAACTCCTATCCCGCTTCTGATCCGACTTCCACGGCACACTCGACCTAATCGGGCAACTCCTGCAACGTTTTGATTAGATCTAAAGTACACATTGTGTGAGAATTTCTGAGTAATCCCTCGGCATCAAAGCGGCTGATTAAATCGATGAAATCGGGGATTCCACGGAACTACACGTGTACCAGTCCACTTAACACACTGATACGGTTAGGTTGGCATTTAGAGAGTTCCCATCAGCGGCAGACTTTAGTTTATCCAATTTGAACGGCCGGAATTACATCGGTTTTGGTTTAAGACGAAAAAACAGAAGCGTGCCGGCGTTTCGGCTTACCTTAAACCGTCCTCAGAGACCTGAGCGTTCTGGTAGACCGAGAGTAACATCGTAAAACATTCCCAGTTTTAATCTGTCAAAGTAATTCTGTAAAAAGATAATCACTTATTTTTAAAGACGAGAAAAAACTTACATATGTACAGGGTGTAAAAAAAGAGTAAAATATTTCAGGAGGTAATAGTATGAACCAAAATAAGCAGAAAAGTCTTAATAAACATGGGTCCGCAAAGTAACGGTTGCGGAGATATGGACTACTATTCGTTTTTCAAACATTTTATTTTATTAGGAATAAACCGACAAAGGAAGCTTTTAACAAACAAAAAACAAAGTTACAGAAGATGTTCAAAGTGCCCTCCGTCCATTTCCAAGCAGGCACGACATCTTCGTCTCAACGATATTCGAACTCTTTCGAAAACACCCTCCTTGGTTTGGATTTCTTGACACTTTTGATTAATCCGTAGCTGCAGCTCTTCCAGGCTATTTACAGGAGTACCATACACTAATGTCTTCAAATATCCCCAAACAAAGAAATCTAGAGGGTTCAGATCAGGCGATCTTGGAGGCCATAAAACAGGTCCGGCCCTTCCTACCCATCTATGTGGAAAAGTTTGGTGTAAATGCTCTCTAACGGCCATGGAAAAATGAGCTGGAGCACCATCATGCTGGAACCACATTTGTTGC